TGGAGAATACCGAGTCTTGCATTGCAGGTTTGATCTGGTAAGCTAGCGAAAGTGTCCTGCGAATTACTTATCATGGAACCGCTACACAGCGGCTTCACGCTCGTCGTCGGTGCTGAGCTGTACGATGGTTGTCGTCTTCTGCAAGGCTTCGTCCGGCAGCTATGTTCTGATGGTCATCGAAGAGTCCTGCTGTTTACTGAACACAGTGACCATGGCACAGCGTTTCTTTGCGATAGCTTGCCAGACCTCGTCGCTCAAGTAGCTAGAATGGACGATGTCGCGGAACAAATCTTCAATCGAAATGGCATGTTCTCAAGCATGTCCTCATTTTTGGAATTTATCCATTCAACGTTAAAGCCAGAACCGGAGCTGTCGCGAGACTGTGCTGTTGTAATCGTGTTCGACTCGATTGCCCCTCTTGTCGTGTTGTTTGGCATTTCCAAAACGCTGCAGATCATCAGGCAGCTGACGTCAGACAGCAACGCGGCAGTGTTGGCTTTCGTCGCGTCAGAGCTGCTCGAAGATCAGCAGCTCGCCCAATTAACTTTCTCTGCGTCGTTGACCTATCGATTGCATGTAGACTCTATGGCAGGTGTTTTCTACGCCGAGAAGTGCCGAAAGTTGGCGAATAAAGTTAAAAAGGAACTTATCAACTTTCACATCGAAGAAGACGGCTCTTGCAAAATCGTTAAGCGGCAAGCGAAGCCAACTTTGGCGCAAAGTAAGGTTTCTCCTTCCATGCCTTCTGGACCTTTTTCATTGCCCGTCACCTTTAACCTTTCGGTTAGAGATGAAGAACTGGCAGTTAAACAATCACTGCAGCTGCCTTACATACAGGCGCAGAAAGGCGATCGAGATGGCTCTGGTAACGTTTATTATGAACCTGATAAAGGCGATGATATCGACGAGGAAGATCCTGATAATGACCTTGAATTTTAAGTTATGGTGTTTGGTGTCTTTTCGATAAGTGAAATTCAGTGATATTCGTTTTTGGGCTCGTTTGCATGTCTGTAAGAAAACTAGTTTTTATATCCTTGAACACGATAGAATCTTGGTCCGAAATCAAAGAGTAAGTAAATCTTTGTGTTATCAAGCCATCAATGATCATCGTTCAGTCAGTATGAGAGGTGTTTATTTTTCGCATGATGAATTCACATACCATGTTCACTGGTTCTCTAATGAAGCATATGTCCATAAGTGGTCAACCATTTCTGCCGAAAATTCGAATTCCTCAGTAGACGTTGTTGCCCAGTCATACCTCTATGTTTGTCCACATAGCCTTCGTACATGACCAGTCAGTCTACTGATCATGTTCATCTACCTTGGAACCACAGTTTTTTAGAATCTCACGATACATGATCAGGTTTAATTACTAAGGAAGTAATTGCAACGTTTTTTGCTGACGGACGATATCGATTTCCTGCCTATGGCCACACTATCAGAACAACTCTGCATGCTTATAACTATACTATGTGCTCGCATATGGTATGTCAACACTTTTTTGTAAGGGATTTTAAGTCTTGAACCAGTCTTTGCAACTTCTTTAGAATCTATATGATCTCTTACCACTATCCGCCTTGTCATTGTTGTGGGTTTGCCACAATTACAAGTGGACGCTCCAATATTCTCAGTTCTGTGATTTTCTGTTCCCCCGCTGTCTAAATAATTTTAACAATCGATTCATCTAAGCGTATTTTTGAACGACCTACTACACGTTTATGGTCCAGTGCAACCCAGTTTGTTATGTTTGATTGATCTTTAGGCCATGTCCGACCGACAAAGTGCCAGATATGAAACGCTAGTCTTATACACCCAGTAATTCTGCTTATCGTTTGCACTTTTCACAGCATATAATTTACGTTCTTCTTTACGGTCTATGCGCATTTCGTAATCAATAACTGTGACATGGTTTTATATACTATATCATGAAATGAGAAACTTGACTATGACCTCATATTCTGAAAAATAATTGTACAAAATTAAGAAATCAGCAATCAGTTTTTGCGGATCCCGTGCCCGAGCAAGAAAGGAGAAGGGTCGCGGACCGTGTCGAGTCTCCCATAAAACTTCACTACCTGCTCCTCATGGTATTGCCGCTATCTTCATCTTCTTTAC